CACAGAACCTTGGAATATTGATTATCTTTCGATATTCAACATTGTAGGCTACAATATGTACTACAATGACAGTAGAATAAATAAATTCGATGGAGTAGTAATATACCGGGTGTCCACAACCACCCGTCCACCCCTTTTATTTCTTTAGCAACACGTTTTTAGGAAATATGATATATACGAAAGTTTTAGCAAATCAATCAAGGATTTTAGCGGTGTCCTTTAGTTTGACCTTGAAGTTGATTTTCAAGGTCATTTCAAGGTCAAATTTCGTTTTTTAAATAGGAACCCCTATTTTTTATACTGGATTCTGAAAGAACACGAAATTTTGAGTAAAAAGTGTTTCCAGTATTTTTTTTATTAGACGCATATTTAGCGAGAAAAAAATTCAGAAAGAATCTTGCCATTGGTTTATTTTTATTTTTATTTTATTTTTATAATTTATTTTATAAAAAATTTTTATTTTTATAACAAATCAAATAAATAAACTGTAATCTGAATAAACATAATAAACTAGCTTTTTTATGAAAACATAAATAATGTCCATTCTTGTTTCCCTAAATAAACTTTTTTTTTATTGGGTTATTTATTTTAGTGTTCGAAATGCGCTCCACCTTGCAAAATGCATGCCTGCACTCTAGCTTCAAAATTATCAACAGCTCTTCTAATTTCTGCTACTTCAAGCGAGCGGATTGCTTCTGTGATTCTGCGAATCATGTTAGCCCGCGTAGTTGGACGCTCACGGTAAACTAAATCTTTTACTCTTCCCCATAAATAATAATCTAATACTGAAAGGTCCGGGGATCGAGGTGGATAATTGACAGGACCGTACTTTCCAATCCACTTATTCGGAAATAAACGATTCAAAGCTCTTCGAATGATAAGCGCAGTGTGCGAAGGACATGCATCTTGCTGGAACCACATGTCACGACGTATCTCAAGATTAACATTTTCTAATAAAGGGGCTAATTCTCTTTCTACAAGATGGAGATATCTAAAGCTATTAAGGTTTCCTTCGAAAAAAATTGGGCCTATGATTTGGTTATCGATAATGCCGCACCATACATTAACTTTCCAAACCCGTTGGTGGTCTTCCATTCTCAGCCAGTGCGGATTTTGCGCTGCCCAATAACGAAAATTCTGCGTATTAACTTCACCATCACTTTTGAAAGTACATTCATCCGAAAAGAGTACGATTCGATGAAAATTTTCTCTTTGGCCACTCGCCCAGTTGCAGAATGCAAGACGTTGTTCAATATCAACATTATTCAGATCTTGATGTAATTCCATTTTGTAGGGATGAAATTTATTGCTCCGAAGAATAACACTGATAGTGGATTTGCTTATACCAGAATCACGTTCCCGGCGCCTTACAGAATCATTTGGCTCAATGATTGCTGATGCGACGATATCCACAGACCGTTCATCTCTAATTCGTCGGCGAATTTTCCTTCCCTTATTGTGATGAGGTTGGACAAGTCCTTCATTCTTGATTCTTCTAGATAGACGCGAAAATACTTTACGAGAATGAGGAAATCTGTTGGGGTAACGCTCTTGCCACAACCTTTCAGCAGCAAGGAATGACCCAGCTTCAAATAAAACTTGCAACATGTCGTGCGCTTCTTCTTTGGAATACACCATAGGTACCTATTTGAAAAGAAAATAAATCTAATTTGTCATTTAGTAAGAGAAACGCAATAAAATGGTTCAAATTCTTTCCGAGTTAAAACTTACCTCTGAAAATGATGAATTTATAATTTATTTCTTTAATGATAGATAATTTCCAACGTCGGGTTTAATTACGAAATCACCTCTGACAAAGTAAACTTAATTTTGCATAGTATTCGTACCGAACATTGCATTTTGACTACTCGAATTTAAAAAGAAAATTTTCATTTTCTTTTATTTATAATTACTACTAGGTGGTACATTTTTACAATAAAGATTTTTAAACAAAAGTTTCATACCTAGATATTTTTTTATGTGGAATCGATGTAAAATCAAAATCCACGATAAAAAAGTACTACACCATTTAAAAAAAACTGACTTCCTGTCCCAGTAGGCTACTTTCGGCCGGAAGTGAATGTTAAAAGCATCACCAATCAATAGGCACAATGCACTTACTAGCACAAGACTTCGAATTTTACTATTCGCTGAATAGGTATTCTACCTAGATTTTAGAAGAATTAGACGGATGGTATGGACACCGGTATCACTGAATTTTTTTCTCGCTAAATATGCGTCTAATAAAAAAAATACTAAAAACACTTTTTACTCAAAATTTCGTGTTCTTTCAGAATCCAGTATAAAAAATAGGGGTTCCTATTTAAAAAACGAAATTTGACCTTGAAATGACCTTGAAAATCAACTTCAAGGTCAAACTAAAGGACACCGCTAAAATCCTTGATTGATTTGCTAAAACTTTCGTATATATCATATTTCCTAAAAACGTGTTGCTAAAGAAATAAAAGGGGTGGACGGGTGGTTGTGGACACCCGGTATATCAGAAATGATATAAAAGAAAACATAGAAATAGTACAACATAACAACTTTAAAATATTAACCTATAAGATTACTATGGAAAATAATAACAAGCTACTACTCTCAGACATATACGTACAGATCATGTGATATGCATAAGACTGAATTTTTAATGAAATTATTAACAAAATTTTTAACTTGAAGTTATTTTTAAAAACTAATACAAGAAACAAAAATACTATTATTGCTGGCGATTCCAACTTCAATATCTTAAATGATGACAAATTGATGAAGAATTTCTACAAGTCTTATTAGAAAATAGATATAGTCCAGGATTTAGTAGCATTACTCGACCATCCGTAGATCATAACAACAAAGGTACTTGCATTGAAAATATATATAAAAAATCGGAAAATTTGATTTACAGGACTTCTTTACTTCCAATTTCCTAATGATCATTATCCACTTTTCATGTCTCTAGACTGTTTTAGTAAAAATATTGACCCACAAAAACACAAGAACAATATTAATTTTCAAAAACTGATAACTACCATCAAGAATATACATTAGAATAATAGTTCATCTATATTAATAGACAACATATACAACTTTGTAATAAAAAAAAGCCCAAATAAACAGCACCACTCCAAAAAATAACAAGCAGATGAAATAAAAAAAATCATGGATAACTAAAGCAATACTTCTTTCGTGTAAAACTAAAGAAAAACTATAAATTTTGGCATAATGCCCCAATAACATAGATACAAAGGAAGTTATAAACAGTATGTCAAACTTCTGGACAAAGTTATCAATAAAGCCAAAGAAAATTTTGATTGAAGAAGTCTATGGTCAATAACAAATAATAAATTAGGTAAAAATACAATGAAAACCGAAACTATTAATCTTATAATTGATAACAACAGAAAAATAATAGATTCAAAAGACGATTATTATTGCAGATAATTATTATTATTATTTGTGACGGTAAACGTCTTATTAGCGCTGACAGCCCAACTATGCGGCTGCCTGCGGGGGCAGCACCTACCGGTTGGGGAAAGATGTAACGAGGGAATCCGGCACGAGATGGGACGGAACGCGCGCGTATGAAAATGAACCAGTCGAGGATTAGAACCTGAACACTCCGCTGCAGCTAGTTGCAATTAGAGTTTTTTTCCCGAGTTTTTCTGAGTGCCGAGACGAGCTGACCAGGACCGACAGGAGCTGTGCCTTCGCCTGACTGGAACGAGTGCGTGCAAGCATGTGTGAGTGAGGGGTTTCGCCATAGAGGGCGAAACCGAAAGCGCGAGTTGCTTCGTCACAAAAGCAGATTGCCCCGAGACTTGATTGCGAACTGTTTATTCTCGTGTTAACTGTGCAACTGCTAATAAGGTAAGCTGGCCAGCTTAATATCGCGATTGCTGTATGATTGCTAATAACTAATCTCTCGTGCTCAGTAAGAAACGTGCATGTATTAACCCATTAACGCCCAAAACCAGAGACTTGTAGACTGATTATCGAGCCATACTTCCCAATCGGAAAATGAGATATACATCGACCAAACCTACTTTACTTTATGTTTTCGGGTCCGCTCTTTCGATTTCTGACGTCAAAATTACGTTTTTTTGCATTCTAAATCCAATATGGCGGACTTTATTAGAAAAAGTTAGGCTATTTAAAAAAATTTTTTTTTTTAACTTTTTTTCAATTACATAAAAAACTTCGATCTATTTCAAACTATGGACAAAGGTGGACAAAATAGCTATAGTTTATGGAAAAAATTTTTTTGGTCAATTCCAAATTGTTTATCATGACGAAAATGGCGGTTAATTGCCAAAATTTTACAAAATCAGTGGATTTTCGCATTATTTCATGTATGAATTTAAAATGGATGATTTTTTTATACTCAAACTGTCTCAGTTCTATTGCCTGACCTTTATAAGTAATTTCCAACAAAATATACGTTATGCCTAATGGCGGATTCAATATGGCGACCGGAAAACTGGAAAATTAACCTGTTTTTTCCACATTTCCACTCATAAAAGTTCTAAATCCTAAGTTTACATAGGTTTCTCTATGATTCGCTATATCGTAAAAGAGAATACTTTAACGGATTTTAGAAATTCAGATTGGCGGATCCAATATGGCGGACGACATAATGAAAATTTTAATATAAATGTATAACAAAAATTGCATCATATTCTAGGTTTTATTTCGATTGAAAAATGTCTCTAGCGTTTTTTTGATTAGATGCAAACATTCTCAGGAAAAAATTCTTGAAATTTCGGAATCATTAGATACGGTCATCAGTAGTTTTCGATACTTTTGTAGACTTGCCTATGTAAAATCATATGACGTGCTTATAATTTTTATAGTTTTCATTACACTGTTAGCAAGCAATAATACCACCATTAGCCTGATTGTCTGAATTGATACTCTGCTAACATCTCAGTTATTACATTTTGGTGTACAACTTAGAGTAAATTCTTTTTCCGCTATCTCATGCCTATATAAAAAGTTACAAAATGCCTAAACGAAAAAAATCGTTTGCTGACCAACATGAACTATACGAATCTAATGATTCTGATGATGATTGTGCTGAACTCATTGACCTTCCAAACCCAGACGATTCCGGAGACTCAGATGAGGAATCTGATAATGAGGATTTTCATAGCAGCAATCTTGATGGAAATATTGAAGATCTTTCTCAATACACATGTAGAAAAATTTCTAAATGCTATAGAGATGATCAAACAAAATTAGAGAATGAACACGTATATTAGTGGGTAGATGGGGAAAAAATTTACAACAATGATATACAAAATGAATTATTGCTGAGTAATACAGAAAAAGCAAAAATTTGTAGATCTAGCTATGTTGAGTTATTTGAAATGTTCTTCACAGATGACAGGAAAAATTACATCATCGAAGCGACTCGAAAATGGCTATGATCTTTCAAAAATAGATTTGAATACTTTTTTAGGTGTAATTATTCTATCGTCATTCAATGAAAGGAAATCTCAAAGAGAGTATTGGTCATCTGATCCTCTATTGTCTTGCGATATAGTTCAACAAGCCATCACACGCAATACATTTGAACAAATCAAATCTCATTTGAAATGCTCTAAGCCTGCAGATAAAAATCCCAACGATAAGGCATGGAGAGTAAGAGTTTTGATGAATAAGTTTAGAAAAAATATTCAAAGATTTGGTTATTTTTAAACAGCCTTATCCATAGATGAAATGATGGCTAAATCATACGCCAAAACATCCTTGTTACAGTTCATTCGAGGAAAACCTATACGGCGTGGTTTGAAGTTTTGGGGATGCTGCACATCTGACGGATTTTTATTAGATTTTGATTTATACTGCGGTAAAGATTCAAATGCAAATCTTCTGAATAAATGTTCTCTTGGTTCTCGAGTTGTGATAAATTTACTGGTACCATTTTCCAAGAAATTATCTAGTACAGAAATTCCTCGATTCCATCTTTATTTTGACAATTTTTTTACGAATTTTGATCTTATTTTACATTTGCAAAAGCTAGGACTAAGATGCACGGGAACAATAAGAGACAATCGCGTACCCAAAGAAGCCAGAAATGTGATTGATAAAAAAGCTTTAAGAGGTACATGTATTGCAAAACATGATCAGAACAGTGGGACAACAGAACAGTAGGAATAAACTATATAAGTATTAAGGACTCGAAACAAGTGTCAATAGTATCATCGATTGCAGGTGTTAGCCCAAAATTACCATCACAAAGATATAGCGCAGAGAAGAAAGCAAGAGTTGATGTACATTTTCCATGTGCCTTTCATACTTACAATAAATTTATGGGTGGTGTTGATTTACACGATAATCATTGCAACAATGTTCTACCAATCATACGTTCAAAAAAATGGACATGGGTAGTTTTGATAAGGCTTATTCAATCTGCAATAGTCAATGCACTGGTGCTGTATAACACTTGTAAATCAGAAGATAAAAAGGTAGGATCTAAAAATTTTACATTGAGTATTGCCAGACAATATCTTGAAAATGGTAAGAAACATAGATCAAAGATGCACGAAGTTTCGTATAAAGAACTAAAAAAAAACTGTTCCACTGCAAAATGCCCGATCAGAACCGCAAAATTTTGCAACACATGTTCTCTATATTTCTCTAAAACATGCTTTGATGATAACCATGAAAAATAAGGTACGGATTATAGAATTCAGAAATTACAAGTAAGGATAAAAAGAATTATGCAAATGAAAAATAAAAAATGTAAATAATAATATAAATAAAAAAGCAAAAAAAAAAACATAAAAATAAAAAATACCAAAAAATTTAAAATAAAAAATACAAAAAAATAGAAAATTTAAAAAGTTCGTGATTCCGAAATTTCAAGAATTTTTTCCTGAGAATGTTTGCATCTAATCAAAAAAACGCTAGAGACATTTTTCAATCGAAATAAAACCTAGAATATGATGCAATTTTTGTTATACATTTATATTAAAATTTTCATTATGTCGTCCGCCATATTGGATCCGCCAATCTGAATTTCTAAAATCCGTTAAAGTATTCTCTTTTACGATATAGCGAATCATAGAGAAACCTATGTAAACTTAGGATTTAGAACTTTTATGAGTGGAAATGTGGAAAAAACAGGTTAATTTTCCAGTTTTCCGGTCGCCATATTGAATCCGCCATTAGGCATAACGTATATTTTGTTGGAAATTACTTATAAAGGTCAGGCAATAGAACTGAGACAGTTTGAGTATAAAAAAATCATCCATTTTAAATTCATACATGAAATAATGCGAAAATCCACTGATTTTGTAAAATTTTGGCAATTAACCGCCATTTTCGTCATGATAAACAATTTGGAATTGACCAAAAAAATTTTTTCCATAAACTATAGCTATTTTGTCCACCTTTGTCCATAGTTTGAAATTTTTTTTTTTTTTTTTTTTAATCTCCTATTAACATTTACAATCTGCAGTACAACATTTAGTAAATTTTATAACATTATATTGAAGCATTTAAATAAGGTGAGTTTCCCAATGGAAGACTCGGTCCTGGATTAGGTAGTTATCGTGGTCATGGCTTGCTACACACAAAAAATTATTGTAATTGTTTATGTTTTTTGAGGCGAGAATTGAAAATGTATTCCTTGAGTAAACGAGCTGCCAATGGGTTCGGATGGACTTGTAGTCTAGCTTTGTAATTGTTGAAGAATGATCTTATTTCCTCCTTCACTGTTGGTATCATTGTGTCCGTTCTTATTATTTCATTGGGGATGAACCAAGGTGCATCCACAATAGTCCTTAGAGCCTTGGATTGATATCTTTCAAGTATTTCGATGTTAGAGTTAGATGCTGTTCCCCATAGTTGGATTCCGTAAGTCCACACCGGTTTGAGAATTGCCTTGTAAAGCAGTAGTTTGTTTTCCAGGGTTAGTTGAGATCTTCTCCCTATCAGCCAGTACATATTTCTTAACTTAAGATTAAGTTGTTTTCTTTTAGAACAAATGTGTAACCTCCAATTCAGTCTTCGATCTAGGTGCATTCCTAGATATTTTACATGCTCACTTTGCGGGATAGTATTACCGTTCAAAAGGACCGGTGGACATGATTTCCTTTTAAGAGTGAATGTGACATGGTTACATTTGTCCTCATTCACCCTTATTCTCCAATTGTTCAACCAGGTTTGAACCTCGCCGAGGTAAGTCTGGAGAGTACGGGATGCCACCTCACAGTCCTCATGAGAGGTCAGCAGTGCCGTATCATCTGCAAAGGTTCCTGTTGTGATATTCAACATGACTGGGATATCTGCAGTGAAGATTGTATACAATACAGGTCCCAATACGCTTCCTTGTGGTACCCCTGCCTTGATTGAAAAATTTTCTGTAATGAAGTCATCAACCTTAACTCTGAAGTATCTGTTTTCTAAGTATGATTGTAGTAGTTTAGATATGTTAGTAGGGAATCCTGTTTTGATTTTGAATATCAGTCCTTCGTGCCAGACCTTGTCAAACGCCTGCTTGATATCCAGAAATACTGCTGAGCAGAATTTTTTGTCCTCTAGAGGCTTTCTAATTTGCGTTACAATACGATGAACTTGTTCTATTGTCGAATGCTTGCTCCGAAAACCAAATTGATGATCTGGAATTAATTTTTTCTCCTCTATGTAAGGATTCATTCTGGCAAGTATAACTTTTTCCAAGATTTTGGATAGAATTGGTAGTAGGCTAATCGGCCTGTAAGATGATACTTGCTCGAGATTTTTTCCCGGTTTCGGTATCACTATTATTTGTGCCATTTTCCATATTACTGGAAAATAGCAGAGACGAAGACAGGCATTGTAGATTATTGTCAGGTGTCTCATAGCCTTTATTGGCAGTTCTTTGATCATTTTAACAGTGATACTATCAATTCCCGGAGCTTTTTTATTTTTTAATTTCTTTATTATTTGTTGTATTTCTGTCATTTTTACCGTTTTGATCGGGCCATCTTCCCCCTCACTCAAGCTGTTTATCAGTTGTTCCTCTTCACTCTCCGATATGATTCTTCCATTCGGCGTAAAAATGTTGCTGAGGTGGTTTGCAAAAGCTTGAGCTTTCTCTTCGTTACTCTTCGCCCAGCAACCAGATGATTGTCGAATTGGTGAGATAAACTGTAGAGGGTTTTTGATATTTCTAGTGGCCTTCCATAACGAGTAGTCAGTAGTAGCTGTAGGAGTAAGTTCACTTAGATATTTACTCACTTTACGGTTTTTTTCCTGTTGTAGCAATTTTTTAAGTTCTCTTGTTGCAGTATTCCATTTGGTCCTATCTGTCCAGTGTCAAGTAATTTGCCAATTCTTTCTGAGTTTTCGCTTTTCCTTGATTTTATTAATAATGTGTTTTGGAGTATCGTGATAGCTTGTTTTCTTTGTTGTAGTAGTGTACTTGCTTTGTGCTTTTTTAATTATTAAGTTAAAGTTATCTATACAATCATCTATATTTTTAGTGGTTTTTAGCGGAATGTTACTATGGATATTTTTTTCTATGTACTGTTTATATTTGTTCCAGTCGGTAGTTTTTATTGTTGTTTCTTTCTTAATAATCTTGGCTTGTAGGGAAATCACTATCGGAGAATGGTCTGAGGATAAATCTAGGCATGATGTCGCCTCAAGATAATTAGAGTTGATCCCTTTAACTATCGCAAAGTCGATAAGGTCAGGAAGCTTTTTTAGGTCTGATGGCCAGTATGTAGGTTCACCTGTTGAGATTGGGTAGTAATTGTTTTCCTTCATCACCTTGTACAGTTGATTTCCTCTAGGAGTCGGGGTAGGCGATCTGGAACCCCACCATGGGTGTTTCGCATTATAGTCACCGCCAGCTATGAATCTGTGACCCAAGGATCCAAAGAAGAATTTGAACTCATCCTTGTCTAATGTATGGTTTGGAGGACAGTAAACTGCTGTCATAGTGATTGGCCCCGTCCAGTCCGTGATTATGATGCTTGCCGCCTGGATATTTTGCTTCTGATGATTGACTGTTGGGTAGTGATTAATCGAAGACTTAATAATAATTGCTGCGCCACCGTGCGCTTTGTTATCCGGGTGGTCTGCATGATATAATTTGTAGTTTGGGATCTTGAAGTGATGCTTATTAGTGAAATGTGTTTCGGAAACCAATATTACATCTACATCTTCTCTGGTTAAGAAGCTTTCCAACTCTAACTTTCTTTGAATTAATCCGTTTGCGTTCCATATAATTATTTTTAATTTATTACTCATTTTGCGAACTTACCCACCAGCGTTGTAATCAGATTAAGCATCGTGTCCATTCTGTCCATAAATTTATCTATAAATTTACCCATTAATATTTCTAACCTTTTTTCAAGGTTTGGTTCAGTTGACTCTGTCTGTTAACTGTTGGTAGTTTTAGGAGTTTGAGTACCGCTGCTAGATTCTGTCTTATCGTTGCTAGCTGCTGCTTGTGCATATGAGAATCCTGGTTTTGTTGTGTGAGTTGTGATGATTTCCGTTCTATTACTGATTAAGTTACTGGGGTGTGGTTGCAGTGTTTTTTCTCTTAAAGTGGGGAATAGCTTTTGCTGTAGCTGTTTGTGGGTTGGGCATCCTCTGTAGCTTGCAGGATGATCTCCTTTACAATTTGCACATATTACTTTATTTGATTTTCCCTTCAATGGACAGTTATTAGTATTATGATGCTCGGCACATTTGACGCATACAGGATTTTTGTTACAATAATTCTTGGTGTGTCCAAATTCTTGACAATTTAAACATTGCGGAATTTCTCTCCTCTTCCTTAAAGGTTCAAATACTACAACAGAGTTTAGAAGCCTATTTACATCAAAGATTAATTTATTGTTACTGCGAGTTTCGAGCTCAACAGTAAAGAGAGGAGTAGCAGCCTTTGTGATTCTGCTATGAATATTGGTAATATTCATAGGTTTGTGTCCGATTTCTTCAAGTTCTTTTTTTAACTCGTCTACATCGGTTGAAGGGTGAATCCCTCTCAGAACTACTTTGAATCCTTTGTCCTGCTTTCGTTGATAGGTGTAAAAACTTGTTTTCTTGTCCTTTAGTGCGTTAACTATGGGCAAGTATTTTTCAGAATCACTAGGCTGAATTCTGACTTTATCGCTTTGTAATACTTTGATTGTATAACTATTCTTAGCTATACTATTTAGCAATTCTTCCAGAGGTTTGATTTTTCCGACGTTCTCAACGTATATCGGTGGTGATTTATATTTGACTACTTTGTCTTCTGTATTAGCATTTTTTTCTTGTTCTTCGGTTAATGGTTGATATCGGTTTGAAGTTGTTGTTGGAGTAGCGCTTAGCCAGTTTTCCAGTGTGTGGGCTGGACGTTTAAATTCCCTTACAGCATTTTCAGGGCTATTTAATTCTTTTCTTTTTCCTTTTTTATATTTCCATTCGTCTTTTTCTTTATCTGTTTGTGAATTTGGTGTGGTTTCCATTTTAGTTAGATTTTGGCTTTAAAAGCCGATTTGTTTATTCCTAAGACTATTAAGTTAACTGGCTATCTTTTACACTTAGACACTGTATAATATTTAATCCGATTTGTGTACGGCGCCTAATCCACTTACTCACTCGTGAATTTTCACTGTCACTTTAGCTTATTTAGTTTCCGATGCCGGAGCCGATGCAAATGCGTCTGATCGGCATGGAAGCTGACTAAAGACTGAGTTTTAAATAGATCGAAGTTTTTTATGTAATTGAAAAAAAAAAGTTAAAAAAAAAATTTTTTTAAATAGCCTAACTTTTTCTAATAAAGTCCGCCATATTGGATTTGGAATGCAAAAAAACGTAATTTTGACGTCAGAAATCGAAAGAGCGGACCCGAAAACATAATGTAAAGTAGGTTTGGTCGATGTATATCTCATTTTCCGATTGGGAAGTATGGCTCGAAAATCAGTCTAAAAGTCTCTAGTTTTGGGCGTTAATGGGTTAACTCGACGAACAAAGAGCAGCGAGCGATCCGACACTGCATGTTATTGTCGCGCGCGCGCTTTGTAAACATAAACACGCGGGCCGAATATATTGTAGAGATAAGAGGAAATAAACGATCTCGCATGTGATATTGACTGTAATTTTGATGTTACTATTTCTCGCTAGTAGAAAATTGATTGACTGACGC